TAAAAAGAAAGAAGATAAAGTGTAATAAAACAAAAGAGATAATAAAAGAAGAAAAGAAGAAATAAATTGTGTATTTTTAATGTAAAAATTAGAAATATTCAATAAAAAGTGTCTAATTTAATGATGTAAAATAAGTAATATTATTTTATTGATGAAAAATACTTTATTCTTTTTTATGTTTATTATTTATATGTATAATTTCATTATGATATTTATTATATATTCAATCATATGTGTTATGTTATTATAATATATAATAAAATATAAAATATAAATGAAAATGATATGAATATATGATATAGAATAAAGAAAAAAACAAAAGAATAATAAGAATAAATGATAAATAAAACGAGAAATAATAATCAATGATATAATAATAAAATCAAAATATAAAAGATAAAATTAATATTAATATAAAACAAAAGAGAATAAATATAAATGATAATAATATATAAATGATAAGAATATAAAAATGATAAAGATGAATAAACAAATAATAAACAAATACATCTAAATAGAAAAGAATATAAATAAGAAAATCTAAATAATATAAACATAAAAATAATCAAATAAGAATAATATAATAATATATAGATAATAAGAAGAATACAATGATATAAATAATATAAACAGAGAAATAAATATAAAAATATGCTAGATAAATAACATATAAAGAAAAGAATATGAATAATAATTAAATAATTAAATATGAATAATCAAATCATCTACTTCATTAATATTTCATACAAAATACAATTGATAATAAAATATAAACATAAATATTTATATATTCTGTATTTATCATACTTTTTATTTTTTATTTTTATTTTATGAGCAAAATATAATAAATGGAATATTCTATGGATGCAAATTATTTTGCATCTTTTTTCTTTTTTGTAAATTATTTAGATGCATTTTTTCTTTGCTAATTTTCGTACCCATGAAATATCATCAAGTGAATATATTCTTCTAAAAAGAAAGTTAATTCATAATCTCATTGAAGAAATGGATATTCAGCATAAGAAGATCATAACATTAGAATTAGATAATTAAAAAATAAAAACAATTGAAATAAACAGATAGAAAAGAAGAAATTTTAACACTTTATAAATGTTTTGCTTTAAAAATGTTTGAAAGAAAATTAAGAGGTCAACTTAAAGAAGAAATAATAGAAAGGTTAATACAAGAATTTGGAATTAAAATAAATGATATTAATGAATATAAAGAAGTAATAAAGAAGACATTTAAAATAAAGAATGAAATTAAAAGAGAAATCAATAGAATAATGGAGGAAGAAATAATAAAACATCAATGGAAAGATAATGAATTAAAAGAAATAATATCCAAAATGAACAAGAAAGAAGAAATATAAGAAGAGGAGGTAATGAAAGTATTTAAAGAAGAAGAAATGAAAGAACAAGAAGATGTACAATTTATTAACTATTATTACAATAAGAAGAAAGTACATCAAATAATTAATATTATTAATAAAAATGAAATAATAATCAATACATTAGATGATTATTACCATTATATTAAAACTGTAGCTTCCACTATTAACATCATTAATAAAAATAAACAAGAAAGAAGTGGAAAGAGAAGTATAGAAAGAATATTGCAATCAAAAATATGTAGATTAAGAGATTTACTCAATAATAAACAATATATGAAAATAAAAAGAATATTATATATTAAGAAATATGATGTATATCATATTAAAATAAAAACAATTGAACAAATAAAATATTATAAATACCTCCGAAAGATGAAAAGAATAGAGATAGAAATAAGAAAGAATAAATTGAAAAGAATAAGATGGAATTATAAAATGATGAAATATGGAAAAAGACAATATTTAAATAAGCCTAAAGAAGATGAATATCCAGATAATATCTCCACTATTAATTTCTGGAAATGAATCTATGAAACTAAAACCAATATAGATTTCCTGAATATTAATTTATACGAAATATTAATAGAAAATAGAATTAATAATAGAATATCAATAATCACTCCCAATGAATTAGACTGTGCTATTAAATTTATTGATAATTTGAAATTAAATTGAAATGATAAAATACAATGATTTTGGATTAAATATTTAGAACAACCAATGAAATATTTAATAAAATTATTTAATGAATGGTTAAATAATCCTAATGAAATACCTCCTCATTTTATTCAAGGAAGAACAATATTAATATATAAAAAAGGAGATAAATTAGACAAACAAAATTACAGACAAATAATTTGTTTAAATTGTCTGTTAAAAGTATATACATCAATATTAAAAATGAAAATAGAAAATCAATTGATGTTAAATCCAATTGAAAAACAACTCTCATTAAATCAAATTGGATGTAAGAAATATACATATGCATCAAAAGAAGGATTATTATACAACACTATAACCATTCAATTATTAATAAAGGCTAAATTGAAGTTGGTAGAAACATATTATGACATATCCAAAGCATATGATAGTATTAACCACCAATGGATTAAACAATGTTTAATTTATTTTAATATCCCACTAGTAGTAATTAATAGTATATTATACATATTAAATAATACATATATTAATTTAATTATAATCAAGAAAGTGATAGTATGATTGATGTAGAAAGAGGAATAATACAAGGTGACAGCCTATCTCCACTTTTATTTGTATTATCCATTGATGTACTATCTAAACAATTAGATAAACAAATAAACAAATTAAATATTAAAATAAATGGAGAAGAAAAACAAGTCCAGTTAAATCATATATTATATATGGACGATTTAAAGATAATAATTAATAATCTCGATGAAATGGAAAAAGCCTACAAATTAACTAAATAAATATTTAATGCAATATGATTAAAAATTAATGTAGAAAAGAGTTTGATAATGAATAATATCAGTAATCAAATAAATGGAGAAATGGTTGAATTAACAAGAGTAATTAATGATAACCCTTATAAATATCTTGGTATTGAAATATAAGATAAAGTAAATATTAATAAATATTGTACAAGAATATTAAATGATGTATCTTCTATTTTATCATCATTAAATACTATGAAATACAGCAGCCTCAATAAAATAAGAAAGATTAATAATGATATAAACTCCAAATTAAGATATGGATTTTGTATTATCAAATATAAACTATGAGAGTTTGAGAAGATAGATAAACAAATAAGAAAATCATTAATTCAATTCCAATTATACAGTAGAAATATTCCCAAAAAGTAGATTATATGTTAAAATAAATGAATTGGGATTAGGATTAATGTCAGCAAGAGATGAATGTGCTAAAGAATTATTAAGAATATATTTAAAATATAAAGATCAAGCACAGAAATAGGAGAAATGATAGAAGCAATAAAAGAAAATCCAAATGGAATAATTAAAAGAATGAAGAAAGCATTTGGTAAGAAGATTAATTTTAATGAATTAATGAATATAATAGAATTAAATGAAAGAAAGCACAATGTAAAGAAAGTATTTGAATGGGTAAATAATGAATTAAATGATAGATATTTAAATGAATGGAAAGAAAAGAAATGTGGTGAATATATAAGATGTGCAAATGGCACTTTCAATGATAAGAAATTAACAGTAGCCACATGGAGGTCATTAAACATAAAAAGAAATGCATTCCTCCAAATAGTAAAGATGCAAGAAGGTACAAGTATAACTATGACAGGAAATATTAAATCTAAAATACTCCAAAATGATGCTTTAAAATATTGTAAACATTGCCCTAACACAATTGCATCTATTAATCATATATTGTTAGGATGTCCTGTAATGAAGAAGAATCAAATATCAAAATATGATTATGTTTGTAAACAAATATATAAACAGATATTAATTACACATTTTAATGAATTTGATGCTATTGATTTTAATAATCCTCCAAAATGTATTAATAATGATAAAATGATTATAACTTACAATAAAGATTTATTGGTTAGTGACAATTCATTCCATGCTAGAAGACAAGATATATATTATCAAAATATGAAAGAAAAGAAAGGATATATTATAGATGTTGCTATATGTCAAGATAATAATTTAGAATTAAATTATATTCACAAAATAAATAAATACAAAGAATTACAAGAGAAATTAAGAAACAATAGAGAAATAATATATGTAGAAATAATACCTGTAATATTATCTATAAATGGATTAATTCATAAAGAGTCAGCAAGAAGATTAAAATCACTGAAATTACAATTAGACCTCCCCAAAATCCTACGAACAATAATTATAAAAAATATGAAAGACTTAATGTTTTACACATTCAATTCTGGCAGCACATTAGAAGAAGAACAATCTAATGCGAGCATGCTAGAAATGAACTCTATTACACCAATAGAGCATATTGAAGAAACTGAAATAATCACTTCTCAATAATCATAAAATCAAATAATGGATATATCTATTAATTGACATTTTTTTTTTAATTTACTTTTAGACAAGCACAAAACAACTATAAAGGAGACATCCAAAGAATAAACTTCATGACTAAACGAAATTATAACATAATACAAACATTGATAGAAAAGTCAAACAAAACTAACAGTATGTTTAAACTGCAAATAACTACAAACAAATACTGATTATTAAAAGAATGTCAAAACCAATTAAAGTATTTATGATTAATGGAAGTCCAAGAGAAAAAGGAAACACTTTTACTATGTTGAGTTGGGTAAAAGAAGGATTAGAAAAAGAAGGTATTGAAGTGGAAATTTATCAACTTGGAAAGAAAGAGATTAAACCTTGTGTTGCATGTTATGCATGTCAAAAAACTGGAAAGTGTTGGAAAGATGATTCAGTCATGGATGAGTTGCTTCAGAAAATAATTGAGGCAGATGGAATAATTATTGGAAGTCCAACATATTACGCAGACGTTCCAGGAGTTGTCAAGACATTCATTGATAGAAGTCAACCAATTTATTACAGCAAAAAAACTCTTAGAAGAAAAGTTGGAGCGGCAGTTGTTATGGCAAGAAGAGGAGGAGCTATTCATGTTTATGACACAATAAATCATTGGTTTGGAATAATCCAATGATTACTATTGGATCAAGTTATTGGAACGATGGATATAACCCAAATGTTACAAACCAACATGAAGTTGAAAAGGATGAAGAAGCTAAAAACACCATGAAGAATTTAGCAGAGAATATGGCGTTTGTTCTTAAGAGAATAGTAAGAACTAATTGAAATTCAATTTATTACATTAAGTTTTAGAAGAGAGAAAGAGAAATGATAAAAAGATTGAGATATGAAAATAATAAAGAAAAAAGAAAAAGAAAAAACCCTTTTTCATTTTAATAAATATGAAACAGAAGGGTTAACAAGAAATATAAAAAGGGTAAAAGAGAAAACTTAGAAGTAAAGAAAAGAGTCATGTCTAGTACAGGAGTCAAAACTATGAAAGATTTCATGTTGAATAAATCCAACATTAGAAATATGTGTGTCATTGCTCACGTCGATCACGGTAAGTCAACATTAACAGATTCACTTGTTACACTTGCAGGTATTATTTCTAATGAAAAAGCTGGAGTAGCTAGATATACTGATACTAGACCCGATGAACAAGAAAGATGTATTACTATTAAATCAACCTCAATTTCTATGTATTATGAAATTGAAGATAAAGAAGATATCCCAGCTGATGCTAATGGAAATGGATTCCTTATTAATCTTATTGATTCACCAGGCCACGTCGATTTCTCATCAGAAGTCACAGCAGCACTTCGTGTTACTGATGGAGCTTTAGTTGTTGTTGATTGTGTTGAAGGAGTTTGTGTCCAAACCGAAACTGTCCTTAGACAAGCCTTAACAGAAAGAGTTAAACCAATTGTTATTATTAACAAAGTTGATAGAGTTATTCTTGAATTAAAAGAAGAACCAGAAGAAGCATATCAATCATTCTGTAGATCAATTGAAAACGTTAATGTCCTTATTTCAACCTACAAAGATGAACTTCTTGGAGATGTTCAAGTTTCACCAGGAGAAGGAACAGTTGCATTTGGATCAGGACTTCATGGATGGGCATTTACACTTGAAAAGTTTGCTAAGATGTGGTCAGCCAAATTTGGAATTGATAGAAAGAGAATGTTAGAAAAACTTTGGGGTGACAATTATTGGGATGCTAAAGCTAAGAAATGGAAGAAGAATGGAAAAGGAGATCATGGAGAAGTTCTTCAAAGAGGATTTGTCCAATTCTGTTTTGACCCAATTACTAAATTATTCAATGCTATTATGGAAGGAAGAAAAGCTGATTATGAAAAGATGTTAACTAACTTACAAATCAAATTATCAGCTGATGATAAAGAAAAAGAAGGAAAAGAACTTCTTAAGACAGTTATGAAATTATGGTTACCAGCTGGTGTTACATTACTTGAAATGATTGTTCTCCATCTTCCATCACCAGTTGTTGCACAAAAATACAGAACATCAAATCTTTACACAGGACCTATGGATGATGAAGCAGCTAAAGCTATGGCTAATTGTGATGAAAAAGGACCATTAATGATGTATGTTTCTAAAATGATTCCAACCAATGATAAAGGAAGATTCTATGCCTTTGGAAGAGTTTTCTCAGGAACAATTAGAACAGGAGGAAAAGCTAGAATTTGTGGACCAAATTATGTTCCAGGTAAAAAAGATGATTGTGTTATTAAGAACATTCAAAGAACTATGTTAATGATGGGTAGATATACTGATCCAATTGATGAATGTCCATGTGGTAATGTCATTGGACTTGTTGGAGTAGATCAATATTTGTTGAAATCAGGAACTATTACTGATTCTGATACAGCACATATTATTAAGGATATGAAATTCTCAGTCTCACCAGTCGTCAGAGTCGCTGTTGAAACCAAGAATCCATCAGATCTTCCAAAACTTGTTGAAGGTATGAAGAGATTATCAAGATCCGATCCACTTTGTTTATGTTATACCGAAGAATCAGGAGAACACATTGTTGCTGGAGCTGGAGAACTTCATCTTGAAGTTTGTCTTAAGGATCTTCAAGAAGATTATTGTTCAGGAGTTCCATTGATTGTTACTGAACCAGTTGTCTCATTCAGAGAAACTATTACAGAACCATCAAGAATTCAATGCCTTTCTAAATCAGCTAACAATCAAAACAGATTGTTCATGAGAGCCTTCCCATTTGCTGAAAGACTTGCTGAAGATATTGAAGCCGGAGAAATTAAACCAGATACAGACTTTAAAGAAAGAGCTAAATTCCTTTCAGAGAAATATGGATGGGATGTTGATGAAGCAAGAAAGATTTGGTGTTTCGGACCAGATAACTGTGGACCAAATTTGTTTGTTGATGTTACAAAAGGTATTCAATATTTGAATGAAGTTAAAGATTCCATTGTTAATGGATTTAACAATGCTATGCATGATGGAGTAGTTTGTAACGAACAAATTAGAGGAGTTAGAATTAACTTAGAAGATGTTAAATTACATGCTGATGCTATCCACAGAGGAGGAGCTCAAATGATTCCATGTGCTAGAAGATGCTGTTTCGCATGTGTCTTAACAGGAGCCCCATCACTTCTTGAACCAATGTATCTTGCCGAAATTCAATGCCCAGAATCAGCCATTGGAGGAATTTACACTGTCATGTCAAGAAGAAGAGGAAAGATTATTTCAGAAGAACAAAGACCAGGTACTCCATTATTCAATGTCAGAGCTTATCTTCCAGTCTGTGAATCATTTGGATTTACTGCCGATTTGAGATCACATACATCAGGACAAGCCTTCCCACAATGTGTCTTTGATCACTGGCAATTACTCAATGGTGATGTTACTGATGCAACATCAAAGGTAGGATCAATTGTTGCTGCTATTAGAAAGAGAAAAGGACTTCCAGAAGGTGTTCCAGGTTTAGATAAATTCTATGATAAGCTTTAATTGACTCTTTAATAAGAAGTATCTTTAAGTTTAAGTTATTAACAAAACAATTCATTAATATTCAATTTTTTATTTTACATAATTGTTTTATGTTATGAATGAAATAAAAATTAGTTAAAATTAATACTAATTAATCAGAAATATATAAAAGCATATTTTCTTTATTTATTTTATTTAAACACAATCAATTAATATTATAATATTCAACATTATTCATATCATTTATTATAATAGTTTTATTCTTTTTTATCAATAACTTATAATTTTGTCTTTTCTTGTATTAATTTTATATTGTGTTAATGAATATTTCCAGTTACTTATTCTCATTAAACTTGAATTTAATTCATTTATTGTTATTATGACACTATCATAATTTCTATATCTTTCATTCAATATCGTGTTTTGTTTTATTTTCCATTTCTCTTTATTTAATATCACATGTGTTTTATATAACATTTCCAATATTCTAAAGTAATATCGTTATTTGGGTATATTTCATTGTTGTTTCTTCCTTATTCTAATTTTCTTATTAGAATCAAACATGATTTTATTTGTATTGATTCTGACTATTTCATCTTTATTAAATTTAATTCTTTATTCATTGTCATCATATATTTTAGGTACTTTATTCTTTCTAGTGCTTTGACTTTTATTCCTTCTTCATCACATTCATTTAATTTCATGATGCACTTTATTCTGTATATCTAGTCTATTTATTTTCTTTAGGATTTCTTTTATTTCATCATTTTTATCTCTTATTATTTTATTTTGGAGATAGAGGTGTATATACAAATTGAAATATTCATATCATCTTGCAGATAATCCATTCTGCTTCCTGACAATATCCATCTATTATTAATTTCCATTATTAGTCGGTCAGCTTCTTTTCTTTGAAAGTAGTAATTAATATTTGTACATTTTTCTACTTTCATTTCTTTTATTTTATTGATGAGAGTGTTAAGATATTCTTCATCAATTTCTGTAGAGTTATTCTTTAATATGATGTTTTTTATTATTGAATCACACTCTACTCTTCCTTCTATTATATCATTTATTTTCACTTTAATGTACCGTTTAGTGCTTTCTTTTATTTTATATGATATTTTAATATATTTAATATATTCTTTTTCATTATTTACATTGATGTTTATTACTTTTATTATACTTTCTATTTGTTCCCATCTTAATTTCTTATATAATTTCTTATTTAACCAATTAATTGCAAAACAATACTTCAATTAAATTTCTATTTCTTCCTTCTGTTGTATTTCTTGTCTGATTATCATCTCTTGTTTTTTGACAATCAATGCTTTGCTTTTCTCTTCGATTTCCACTACTGTCTTTTTCATAGGAGTAGTTTCGTTCATCTCCATCGTTCCTGATGATGCTTTCATCAATACTGGTTGTGTATTTATCACAAGTGTCATCGTTTTCTTCTTCTCTAATTCCTTCTGTGAGATAAAATTTTAAATATCATCTTGTTGTTTTGATATTATTTATTTTTGTGTCTTATTTTCTTTTTGTGTGTTATCTAATTCTTCTCTTGTTCTTTCTGCAATTTCTTGATATTTAGAGATTTGTTTTTCTTTATCTCTTATCTTCTTCTTCAGCTTCTCTTTATTAGCTTCAATACTTCTGATTTTTTCATCTTTATCATTTACTTCCATGATTTTCCATGTATCTCATTTATTTTACATTGTGATTTAATGTTTTCTTTATTTTGTTATAAGTGTTTCATAATTAAAATTAAATAAAAAGAAATAAAATGTTTTAGAAATTAATTAGAAAGCAAAATCAGCTCCCATTTCACGTTTCCATTCTTTTTGGAAGGTATTAGCATATTCAGAAATAGTAGTTGCAGCAAGAAGAATACCAGTTCCTGAACCAACAGCACCAAGTAAATCAGCACCAACAGAAAGAAGAGAAATGCACATACCACCAAATGAAGCAGCAATTGGGATATACTTATCAAGAAGATAAACAGAACTTTCACCGTCACGGAATCCTCTAATAGAAACACGTTGGTCAGCGAGTTGTTTTTTAACATCAGCAGAAGAACTTCCAGAGACTTTAATCCATTCACGTGAGAAGATAGTACACATGAATACAGTCAATCCAATACTAATAACTCCATGAATTGGGTTTTGAACTAATTCAAAAAGACTGTTTGGAGCAGTAAGATAATAACAAAGTCCACCAACTGGATACATTTGTCCTCTTGATGAAATAGCAGAACATGAACCAAATAAG